CCCTCGGCTTCCCTGGTTTTCTAGATAACTTTTTTTTTTCACCCACCACTCACCCTCACACGTTCGTCATCAGTGCCCCTCTCCTGCCGTGCCGAACGCCCTTGAACTTCAGTCAGTCTGGCAGTCACTGAACCTACAGACCATCCTTTTCAATGAAATTTTGCTTTGAATTATCACTTGTACTCCCCTGGTTCGTACAATATATATATATATGTGTATATATATATATATATATATATATATATATATATATATATATATATATATATATATATATATATATATATATATGATTGATATGTGGTGTTTAACGTCCCAAAACCACTATATGATTATGAGAGACGCCGTAGTGGAGGGCTCCGGAAATTTAGACCACCTGGGGTTCTTTAACGTGCACCCAAATCTGAGCACACGGGCCTACAACATTTCCGCCTCCATCGGAAATGCAGCCGCAGCCGGGATTCGAACCCGCGCCCTGCGGGTCAGCAGCCGAGTGCCTTAGCCACTAGACCACAGCGGCGGGGCCTATATATATATATATATATATATATATATATATATATATATATATATATATATATATATATATATATATCGTATTTACTCGAATGTAACACGAGTTTTTTTCAAAATCTCTCTGAAGTGATTTGGGGGTCTGCGTTATAATCGAAGCACCTCAAATCGTGCCTTGGCGGTGCCGCCCCACTGGTTCCTTAAAATGGCTACGACAAACCTAGCGATCTTTCAACCTTGTGCTGGCAACATATGCACGCCGGCAACATCGAATCCAATCCAATCCTATTGTTCGCGACGTGTTTTGCGGGCGGTTCATTTCCTTTGTGCTTCCGCGACTTCGGCTCGAGGAAATGGCAGCGCGACGAGTTCAGTACGATGCCCGCTTTAAGATAAGTGCAATACTGATGGCTGAGGAAATCGGGAACTCAGCCGCGGCTCGACGCCTAGATGTGGCGGAATCTACTATCCGTGGGTGGAGGCTCCAGCGTGAAGCGCTCTTCAAAAGTGAGCCCGGCCGAAAAGGCTTCCGTGGAGCTCGTTGTGGCCGTCACACAGAACTCGAAAAAAAAATGGCGGAGTTCGTGATTGAGCCGCCAAATCGCCTATTGGGGGTCAACGTTGAGCTGATTCAGTGGAAAGCCCGAGACGTAGCTCGAGAGACGGGGATCCCGCGGGAGAACTTTAAGGCTTCACGAGGATGGGCACAAAAGTTCATGCGAAGAAATGGATTTTCCCTCCGGCGAACAACGTCGATAAGGCAGAAGCTACCAGCAGATTGCGAAGCGAAGCTAGTGGAGTTTCAGCGCTATGTGCTCGACCTGCGCCGCTCGTCGCAAGTGCCGTTGGGGCACATTGGCAACGCGGACCAGTCTCCCGTTTTCTTGGACATGCCTATGTCAAGGACTGTCAGTGCAACAGGGGCCCCCAAAGTTCGCATAAGGACAACAGGCAACGAGAAGACGCAGCTAACCGTGATGTTAGCCTGCTTGGCGGATGGGCGCAAGTTGCCGCCATACATCATTTTCCGGCGCAAAACCATCCCGAAGGAGCTGTTCCCCAGGGATGTGATTGTTCGCTGCCAAGAAAAAGGTTGGATGAACACTCCGCTTATGCTTGACTGGGTCAAGACTGTGTGGTACCTACGGCCAGGTGCGCTCCTCCACCCCGCCTCCATCCTAGTTCTCGACTCATTTCGCGGTCACCTGACGCCGAAGTGAAGAAGCTGATGCGGGAAACAGACGCAGCTCGCTGTTATTCCCGGAGGTATGACGTCCGTGATGCAGCCATTAGACGTCTGCCTGAACAAACCATTTAAGGATAGAATGCGGCAGCTGTACGGAGAATGGATGCGAGAAGATCGGGCTTTGACACCTACGGGTAGGATAAAGCGACCTAGCGCCGCGAAGATTGCCGAGTGGGTGTCCGCCGCTTGGTATGGGCTGCCACACGACATGATAGTTCGCGCGTTTACAAAATGCTGTATATCGAACTACATGGATGGCACGGAGGATGACCTCATCTGGGAGGAAGAAAGTGACAAAGAGGGCTCGACCACCGGCGATGAAAGCGACGAGTGAACAAAACTCACTTTATAGTTAGAAACTGGGATGTCTTTGCCACTACCATGTGCAGCAAATAAAGGTTCTTTTTTCCCCCGCTTTACTCGCGATACATTCGTGTTCTTTTTTTTTTCGGCACTGAAAAGTCACCCCTCGCGTTACAATCGTGGTCGCGTCGCGTTACACTCTAGTAAATACGGTATATATATATATATACCAGCTATTTGCTTTCTTTGCTTTTTGTTTTTTCTTTTGGTACATATGTTTTTCAGACTGCTTCTAGGTCGTTTACCACGGTACATTCAGAAAGCGATCATATACTATTCACGGTGAAGCCATACATAGACACATTTCAATATTTTATACAGACGTGCGAACAGTTACGTTGGACTAATTTATGTATTTGGATATCCAGTACCCACGAACTGCGTAAGCGTTTCAGTTTACATAGTAATGAGAAAATTCAAGGACGACCTCAGTTACTCTCACTCACTCACTCACTCACTTGCTCACTCACTCATCAATCAATCAGTCAATCGATCGATCAATCAGTCGATCAGTTGGTCGATCAGTCAATCTATTATTTGGTTAATCAACCAATAAAGAAATTAATCAAACCAGGCTTTAATCATGAAGTGCGTACAAGTACCTGAATGTGTGAGAGCAAGGAACTAACCTCTCGATATGATTAGAATCAGCCTGAAATTTGAGTTGAACGCGTTGCCATTCAACATGAATTTATGTGCCGAAATGAAGAGGCCAAGCAGTTCCTTTTCGCGCTATATTTCACCTGTGTTTTAATGTGGGGATGGAATTCTTTTGGGTGACTTTGTTATCTTTGTCAAACTAGTTGAAAGCACAGTAAAAACGCCGACATGAGAGAGAAAACAGATGAAGAGTGCTGAATAACAACTGAAATCTATGAAAGGGATGTAACAAACTACAAAGACGAAGTGAAATAACAAAATAAAAATAGTTTAGTACATGATATCTGGCAGTCTTTACCGAGACAAACACAAGTTATTTTTCAGTGAAAGCAACAGATGCCACACTTACACATTGTGGACCCAATCTGGCAATCTCATTGTTCAATGCGAACAGGACTGGAATGCAATAGACTACAGGCACTTTGACCGCTTCTATCTACGTATGCATATATACATCTAGCAGCTTACGGCTGGGTGCTCTCGTGATGGTCTACTTTACTTGGGGTAGGCCAAAACTAGTATGGTTTCACGAATGTGTCTGGCTGGTTATGACATGTATAACGGAAGAATTTCTTCGCGTACGTCGTCAAACTCTTCCGTCGAGACACGTGTGACACATAGCTGTTGACCGCTGGCATCGGTATGCGGGGATATGCCACAGGTGAAAGTCTATATGTACACAGGAAGGGCGAGTACACCGGTAATATAAATGCGAGAGCCCTTAGAAAAACGTTCAGCCGCATCGTTGGCTCGACGAACGCAAATGATAATTAAAGAATAAATATAAAGGCCCCATCTGGAATAAAACCCAGGCATTCTGCGTGGCAATCGAGTATCCTATACCACAGAGCTATACCCGATCTCGTAAATGCTTTGTAAACAAACTTCCTCCGGCGTGATGGTGAAGCGTCAACTGTGGTTGCACTACTGACCACGTGATTTCACAGACTTTACATATATATTTCAATGATACGGGTATATATATTTCAATGATACGTAAGACAGCCTCCGAAGCTGTCTTACGTATCAATAGCCAGGACCACCACCCTAGCAAGCACAAGCGCTACATATCAGCTTATCGTTGGTGGTGTCAGTATTGCCCATGTCGGTGCTGGCATCGTTACGCAACTGTTGATTGATATGATTGATATGTGGGGTTTAACGTCCCAAAACCACCATATGATTATGAGAGACGCCGTAGTGGAGGGCTCCGGAAATTTCCACCACCTGGGGTTCTTTAACATGCACCCAAATATGAGCACACGGGCCTACAACACTTCCGCCTCCATTGGAAATGCAGCCGCCGCAGCCGGGATTTGAACCCGTGACCTGCGGGTCAGCAGCCGAGTACCTTAGCCACTAGACCACCGCGGCGGGGCGTTACGCAACTGTAAACAACTGCTTATATAAGGCATGTGTAACTGTTCAGCAAATGCCTTGGCATACTTTGCTAGTACATATGTTTACAGTACTTTCATAACGTTTCGCCAAATGCAAAAATTACAACATAGTCTCCATCCCTCAGCATGCTTTGCATGGCATCGATTTCCATGGTACGTGGGGTCTGCGGAATTTTTTTTTTAATATTTCCCTCGTTAGCTTCGAGCGGCTTCATCCCACTAGCCGGCACTTATCTTTGTCTAATGTCGCATGGGCTGCAGCATATGACTCTGTGTTCACGCATTGTCTGACGAATGTTACAGTTATGTTCATGCAGCTGCTCATTCACAGATCTCATGGTTTATCGACATAGCTTTCTTTTTTGAAGTTTGAATGAATGGGAAGTTTGAAGTTCGTTCAGTATTGAGTACATACACAGCATATAGTGCGGAAAAGGTCCCATAGTGTAAACACTGTGAGGGCACCTTATTTTATTGTAAAAAAATACTTAACAGCAAAAATATAAAAACGGCAAACTAATCAGAGTACAAAGCAAAAAAATAGTGGGCTTATGTGACATGAATATTTCTGCACTTTCAGAGGAACTTGTGCGCTACACATTCCGCACACGTGACAGTGAGCTAGGTGAATATTTCTGTTCTGTAACTTCTTTGTCACATCTTCTTTATAACATGTTGTATCTCTTGAAGAAGTTTCAGTTATTAGTCGGCGACTGGTCTGCCGTGCTATATCTCCTGCCCTCAGCTTTTTTTTTAAGCACTGTAAATTTATTGTGGCCTAACAGGGATACGTGTTCACCCTTTTGTCTCCTTCCCAGGCAGGCCGAAGGCAGCCGTGCAGCTCGAGGCGTCATGGCCAACACCAGCAGCCTCCTGGATAGCCTACTGTCGGAGAAGAACTACAACCGCCAGTTCAGACCAGGATTCGGAGGTCCGTATCCGAGCGCGGTGAGCGTGTGTTTTTAGGCTAGCAGCGACGGGGTTTCCCGCTCCTCGAGCTGAGAAGTCGTAGCGTTTTCAAAAATCACAGGTGTATGATGTAACTTCGAAAAAATAAGCAATTAAACGATTCATAAGCCCATTTAGAGCCTTCCTTTGGTATGCACTTTCTTATTGGCAGAGGTGACGTTCAGTGCCAGTTAGCGAAGCCGATTGTCTGACTCGGTGATCAGCCCCGCCGTGGTGGTCTAGTGGCTAAGGTACTCAGCTGCTCGCACAATCGAATCCTGGCTGAACGGCTGCATTTTCGATGGAAGCAGAAATGTCTGTAGTCCCGTGTGCTCAGACTTGGATGCACGTTAAAGAACCTCAGGTTGTGAAAACTTCCGGAGCCCTCTACTACGGCGTCTCTCATAATCATATGGTGGTTTTGGGACGTCATACCCCACATATTCACATGACTCTGTGATTTATCAATGAGCGTTCGAACAGGAAGCATGTTTCGACACCCAATGCTATAATTAGAATACTTATATCAACAGGAACCATTAGCCATGAGGTTTTCTTTCGTCGCAGAAAGGTTAACGAACGTGATGATCGATACGTGTGTTGTCTCTGTGCGGGAAACAGATGTTTGCCCTTGCTCAAGCATCTTCTGTATATGAACTGGTATTTTTCAGTGGTCTAATTAGGCGCACTACATTCACTGGCTTTTGCGTTCCAAAATATCCCACTCCACATATTTCAACAGCCGATTGCTTGACGACAAATAAGTCCATTTCAAACTCGCGTTCACGCACGGTTTCAACGACATGCCACTTGCACGCCATTCATGGCACCTTGGTAGACTACGCGACACATAGTAGCATTTATAGGTTTTCATTATAAATAATGTCGTGTGACACAGTCAGACTATAGAGCCCCAAAGCGGTAGTTATAATCACTCGTTTCATTTTCGTGTAACAGTTTTTTCAATAATAAAAGCGTGCAATCACGAACCACGCGTTTCAATGCAGCTGAACGCTGCAGGAAGCCAACCAGCACCGCTGACGTCCGTCGCAGGCTAACTTGTGTAAAGCTCAAAATAATTAGGGATACGTTTTTGTCCTACCAGCGCTGTTGCTGTGCACGTCTCTCTAAATAGAGTAAGGCCAAAGGAACGTAAATCCACCATTCAAAATGCATGTATCGTCATTATTACCGACCTTAACCTAACCAGCTGTTTTCGCGATGTTTAATACACCTTTCGAAGCTGTTATTTCGGTGTTCTGTTTCTCACTTCCCCTCTCGCTTTCTCTCTTTCTCTGTCACCTTTTTCATTTTTTATTGTTGTCATGAAGGCAGAAAAAACTAAAAGTAACACAAATAAGCAAAACACATCAAGTTGGCGGTCATCACGCATATGCTTGGGCGGCCGTGATGGCGCGTTAAAACAAGAGAAATCTACGTGCTGCGTTCGATGGTGCGAGCCTTCGCACAGCGTTGTTTTTCGGGGCCCAGTGGCGCGTAGCCCGCGCGCGACGTGACCGCTGTCGCCATGGCCTCCAAGTCACGCTCTGAATCCGGTGGCATCGGCGCCGTGTCTAGCAGCCTGCGCTGTGGACACCCAGTGCTCTACGCGACCTCATGCGATGGACCAACCCCCTGAGGTGGGTTTTCTACGGATGGTGCTTTATACGGTTGATGCACTCCAACACTGGAGTGCAAAGAAAACTTTTCTTGGGTGGCTTATATACGGCAGAGACTACGGAGTCAATAAATGATCTTACCGAAATGTCAGACCCATGCTAAGCAACCTGGAGGTCGCGCCCAACCAAGCAGAGCTGAAAACGCAGCTGTCTTTTCATCGTACGCAGCTGATCACTCTCTGCTTGACATCGAGTGAATGAAGAGTGCCCTGAAAAATCAGTGGCTGCAACAGAAAAGACATTGTTTATTATTCACAGGGTTGTTTAAGCCCGGCGTTAAACCCTGCAGAGCGTAAAGCAGCTCCCAGCGGGTATGGGCCACAGAAATTGGGCGGAAGCCTGTTGCAGCAGCTTCCACTCACTTAACGTCGCAAGGATTGGTTGAACAGCAAAGGCAGTGTCAAAGCTGTTACAGAGCGAAGTCAAGCGATGAAATAGCAACATTACGCCACTATGCCCACTATGTAACCAACCATTTCTTGCAACGCTAAACCAGTGAAGCTGCTTCAAATTGTTTCCTCAAGAATTAGAGGAATAATAAGATGGCTCTGAGAGAGGAGACGAAGCAAATGAGATCGCCTTGTCTATCAATTTTCGCTCTGTCCCATAGAAAACGTAAATTACAGTGTGCTGAGTATACGTGTTAATTTTCTGACATTGGCTTTGCCTTTCCATAAAAAGAAGAAGAAGAAGAGGAAGAAGAAGAAGAAGATCATGATGATGATGATGATGATGATGATGATGATGATGATGATCATGATGATGATGATGATGATTCGCGATATGATTACGAGAGGCGCCGTAAAGGAGTGCTCGGGAAATTTAGACCACCTGCAGTTCCTTAATGTGCACCAACATCGTGCCGTACACGGGCCTCTGGCATTTCGTCTCCATTCAAATGTGACCGCCGCGCGTGGTATCGAACCCACGACCATCAGGTCAGCAGCGCATCACCATAACCACTGATCTACCGTGGTTCACTGGCCTTTATCTGCATGCTCTGCGCAGAGCTGCTAAGGACAATCTTACAGGCACAAATTGAGGTCACCTGAATCGTGCATAGTAGGCAATATGCAATAAAGAGCGACATGGCGAAGAAGTAAAACTGAAAAGCAGCGTTGACAACGGGCTCAAAGCACTCCTTACACTGTGTTCTTTAGAGTTGTTGTTATAATTCAGTTCTTCTGGGCTATAGAGTTTCGAATCCCGCATTTCAAGTTTGTCTTGTGAAGGAGGTATAAGAGGCCGCAGTTTTACTTTAGAGACGTTATGAGATCGGAAACGTTGGACGATAGCGACATAAAAGAAATCGCGACCGGTAAGATTCAAACAGACAATCTCGCCTAAACTATGCGATGCTGTTGTTAAACAGCCCTGATGCCTGGAGGTAGTGAACGTGTGTTGTCTGGCTACGAACTAGCTTGTTTCTAAGATTAAGTACCACGTGGCCTATGAAGTATCGGGAGATTTGGCCTGCGGCCAGTCGCACTGATGGTCATAACGGTCACGAACGTGCCCTTGGCTAACAACCCCCTGTACTACACTAAATGTGCGTTCACGTGTCGTCACTATAAAATGTGGCCAAAAGAGCAGCTCTACGAGTAGTTTAATTGGCTGATTACCTCATATATCATGGGTTCATGTATTCGGCTTCTAAAAAACCACATATATTTTATTGCGGGGCGAAAACGAAATAAAATGTAAATGAAAGTACCCTGGACCACACCACAAAATTAACCATCTACCACTGTCAACTTCCGCCCATTCATTTGCCATTCTCATTAATAAGGGTAAGGATGTCAGCAAGAAGTGTTAACTTTCCGTGTTCTGACACAATATTAATGAGATCTAACAGACAGTAATGATAAGAATTATATATATATATATATATATATATATATATATATATATATATATATATATATATATATATATATATATATATATATATATATATATATATATATATATATATATATATATATAGTCCAGTAGATCCTCCGTGAGCGGTCACAACGTGGTTTATTTCGACGTTTCGGCCTAGAGTCTGGCCTTCATAAGGATTAAAGATACAGTTTGTTGGTGACCAGCTTTATACAATCTCAAATCAGAGGGCAAGGAAAGAGAAAAAAAAGACAGAAAAGAAAAAAAAGGGAAAAAAGAAAAAAAGAAGGAAAAAGAGAAGAAGAAGAGAAAAATAATATACGGTGGACGCCCCTCGGGTGCCCCCCTTCCACTCTTCCTTCCACTTCCCCCCTCCACTATTCCCTCCACTTCCCCCTTCATCGCTGCTATATATATATATATATATATATATATATATATATATATATATATATATATATATATATATATATATATAAATATATATATATATATATATATATATATATATATATATATATATATATATATATATATATATATATATATATATATATATATATATAACGCGTTCGATGCTCGTTTGCTGTTCACGGCTGGTTATTTTTTCATGCACTTTTCTTTCTTCTTATTTACATTCCATTGGTTCTAATAACTTCCCCTGTGCATTCCTTGGTATTACTGTCTGATAGATCTCATCAATATTGTGTGAAAACATGGAAAAACGAGCCCTTAGGTATACACTTCTTTCCCTTATATATATATATATATATATGTGTGTGTGTGTGTGTGTGTGTGTGTGTGTGTGTGTGTGTGTGTGTGTGTGTGTGTGTGTGTGTGTGTGTGTGTGTGTGTGTGTGTGTGTGTGTGTGTGTGTGTGTGTGTGTGTGTGTGTGTATGTGTGTGTGTGGGTGTGTGTGTGTGTGTGGGTGGGTGGGTGTGTGTGTGTGTGTGTGTGTGCGTGTGTGTGTGTGCGCGCTTATAGCTTATCACTGAACTGATGCTTTTGTTTTGGTTTCATTATCTACTACTTGAACTAGTTAGTTAGCCCTGCGGCGGTGGTCTAGTGGCTAAGGTACTCGTCTGCTGAGCCGCAGGCCGCGGGATTGAATCCCTGCTGCGGCGGATGCATTTTCAATGGAGGCAAAAATGCTGTAGGCCCGTGTGCTCAGATTTGGATGCACGTTAAAAAACCCCAGGTGATCGAAATTTCTGGAGTTCCCACTACGGCGCCTCTCATAATCATATGGTGGTTTTGGGACGTGAAACCCCACATATAAATCAAACGAATTAGTTTTAGTCAATTAGTTAGTTAGTTAGTTAGTTAGTTAGTTAGTTAGTTAGATAGTTAGTTAGTTAGATAGTTAGTTAGTTGGTTAGTTAGTTAGTTAGTTAGTTAGTTAGTTAGTTAGTTAGTTAG